AAGAAAAAAAAAGAAAAAACTGTCCTACTAATTGGTTTTGAAACTGTCTCATTGCTATTAAAAAACAAACGGAACACCAAGAAAAAAAAAAAAAAGATAATGCGGCCAAGTGTGTTTGTAGTTGTGTCTGCACTTTTCAATCTGTTCCAGTGATCCCCAGACCTGTTTTCTGCCAGCACCATGCTGATTTTATCACAACAGCTTTGTAGCATAATATCAAGTGAGGAATTGTGATGCCTCCTGCCTTTCTTTTGTTGCCTAGGATTGCTTTTGCTATTCTAGGTCTCTTCTGGTTCCAGATGAACTTTAGGAATGTTTTTTCTAGACCTGTAAAGTATGCTAATGGTATTTTAATCAGTATTACAATGAATCTATATAACAATTTTGGGAGTATGGCCATTTTATAATGGTGGTTCATCCCATCCAGGAGCAAGGAGTATCTCTCCATTTTCTAAAATCCTCTTTGAGAGGGCTGGTCAGATAGCTCAGTGGACTAAAGGGCCTGTTCAGGCAGAGTGCAGCAGCTGGGGTTCCATCTCTGGCACCACAAGCTGTGCTGGCCCTGCCCCCAGGATTGCACTGAGATATGACATCATGCTTGCCTGTAATCCCAGCTCTTGGGAGGCTGAAAACAGGCAGATGACTACAAGTCCAATCTACGTCGTAAGATCCTATACTAAATAAGTAAAATTTAAAAATACAATCCTCTTTGATCTTTTTTCAGAATGCTAGAATTTTCACTGTATAAATGTTTTACTTTCTTTGTGAGATTATTCCTAAGCATATGATGTTGACTGTTGCACAAATTATAGGAAACAGTAAATGCTTCCTAAATCAATGCATGGGATTATCTGTAGGCCTTATTATAAACTACAGGACTCACTTATAGTCTGACCTACCCAGGAGGCTGAGACAGAAGAATCCCAGCTTGAATAACAGAGCAAGGCACTGTTTCAAAAACAACAAAAATCCACAGACTTAGACAACTATACTGATTGCAGGGGGCCGGGGAGATGGCTCAGTGGAATAAGCGCTTCGCTGGCAAGCTCAAGGGCTTGAGTTCAATCCCCGGTTCCATTAAAAAAAAAAAAAAAATCAGTGTCTCTGATTGCAAATATATTCTGTGCTATGACTAGAACATATTGCGTATTATAAACTTCTCTAGAATGACCTGTCAATTAAAAAATTCTAAAACCACAGAATTACATGGCTGTTTTCAGTGTTCAATTCCAATTTAACCTAGTGTGATGTTACAAACTTATTTATTCTCAAATCCAAGCTTTTTGAAACATAAAGTCTGATCAAGTAATACAGATCTAAAATATTAACCAGAATAAATCTTTAAATGTTTTAAAGAAATATACATGTGAGCTGGAGATACAGCTCAGCTACATAGCACCTGCTTGGCAAACATGAGGTCCTGAGTTCGATTCCTAGGACCAAAAAAAATTAATAATAATAACAAAAGAAATGTACATGCCATTCAAGTTCATGGAACAGAATATATTTCCATGGAAAAAAATTACTTTTGCCTTAGTATACCAAATTACAATTATTTTACATCATTGTGACTATAGTTAACAATACATTGTCCACATGAAAACAGTTAAGAAATCTTTTTTTTGTGTGTGTGGAACCAGCGATTGAACTCAGGCCCTTGTGCTTGCCAGACAAGCACTTATTCTACTGAGCTATCTCCCCGGCAATAGATCTTATCACAAAAAATTCTGAGGTAGGGCCAGGGAGATGGCTCAGTAGAATAAGCACTTTCCTGGCAAGCTCAAGGACCTGAGTTCAATCCCTGGTTCCACAAAAAAAAAAAAAAATCTGAGGTAATATATGTGGTAATTTGTTTGATTTAGTTCAGCTATCCACAAACATACTGCACATCTATAAATAAATAGCATTTTTATTTGATTAAAAAAATTTTATTACCTCCAATGGCTCAAGATCATTCTCATAGGATTTGATGATTTCCTTGGAAGATGTTAACTGGGCTTCCTTATTAGTAATCTGGTCACCAATTTCACAAGCTTTTTCCTTATTTTGCTTCAGGTATTTCAGTTCTGTTTGGCATTCTTTTACTTTCTGACCTTGAGTCTGACGTACTTGACGAAGTGTTTCCAAGGCTTTGATATACCTTTGAAGACATCAATAAATCTAAGTTTTGGTATATTTATACAGTGAAATATTATGCAGTCATTAGATTGCAATGAGTTCATGGTAACTTAGTAGAAATGCTTATGAGGTAAGGGTGAGAGAAAAATTACATTTATACAGTCAGGTGAATAAGACAAAAAAAAAAAAAAAAAAAAAAAACTGAAAGGAAATGTACTGCTAAATAGCAGCCACTGGGTGAAAGGTATTAATTCATGAGCTTTTTGCTTCTTAAATTTGTTTTTAAAAAAGTGCCTAAAAGATAAGCATGGTGGTACATGTCTACCAAAGAGGCAGAGAGAGAAAGGGCCAAGGCAGAAGGATCTCTTAAAGTTAGTTTAAAGGCAGCCAAAAAGAAAAAAGAAATTTAAAAAAAGGCCAGTCTGAGGGGTCCAGAGAGATGGCTCAGTAGAATAAGCACTTGCCTGGCAAGCACAAGAAAGGGCCTGAGTTCAACCCCTGGTTCTGCAAAAAAAAAAAAAAAATGCCAGCCTGGGCTGGCCAAATAGCTCAGCAGATTAAAGCACCTGCTTAGACAGACACATAAAAATAAATTAATTTTTTTAAAAAAAGGGTCAGCCTGGGTAACACAATGATATCATCTCTCAAAAACAAATACAAAAAACAAAGTCTCAATAACTTAGTGAGCTAAAAAGAATCTTAAAAATTACAAGCCTTGGGGGGAGCTACCCACTTGGCCCCTCCCTCCTGTCCCTCTCTTGGGACAGGAGCTTTCTTTCTCTCAATAAATATATTCTGCTCATTAAAAAAAAAAAAATTACAAACCTTGTTGCTGAAAAAATCTCATCAAACTTTTGCTTCAGAGCCTTTCCTTCACTTAAAGGCCAATTAGAGTCTTCTTGGTGGCAGAAAATGACATTATTTAGCACAGATTTAGAAACCCCAAGAGCACTTATCATTTCTCGGTCGATTTCTGCACACTTAGAGCTGATACTGACGCTTTGGCCATGCCTATCGGAAATAAAAGTGAAGAATATAAGTAAACTAATCCTTCTATTGCTTAATCAATCCTTCCTGCTGTACTTGTTTAAATAGCTTCTTCATACTACAAAGTACAACTCAAACAATTTAGCAGTTAACTGACAGAGTATATAAAACAGGGTAGCATTAAGAAATGATGTCAAATTTTTTTTACATATTTGGACTTCAAGCGACAGTTATTTAAAA